GATGCTTCGAAGACACTTTTGACCGAATACACACCAGGTCATCAGCACTGATGATAATTCCAACATAAGAGACGCGGTCGAAACGCTCAACTACCTCATTCACTATTAATAGTTCAGGTGCCGATGCAACCCAATCTTGAAGCAACGTTTCGCATTTCGACTAGCAGAATCGCATCTCGAACATGCTTGCATTGTTGCCTAAGGTGGTCAGAAGACTGTGCATTTCGTCAGAGACTTTTCCAAGTAGAACTATGTCATCTGCATATTCTCAGTGAACAAGTGAATCTTCTTATAAAAGTTCAACTCCTGAAAATTCGGATGATGAGAATGTTGTATCTAAAAGCATGTCAATGATAAAGTTGAATAAGAATGGAGAAAGTGAACAACCTTGACGAACACCATTTGAGCTAATCAGATCTGGTGACAGTTCGCCGTATGATCGCACTCGAATAGTAGTGTTCGAGTAAAGAGCCTATGTTAAGGTAATCTACTTCTTTGCTACTCCTTTCAGTGGCAGACTACCATAGAATCTGACCATCGACAGAGTCAAATACCACCCTAAGGTCGAGAGATAAGACTATTGTCGGACGTCCAAATGTGTATCTGTGTTCTAACACTGAATCCACTCTGATTTTCTAGACTCTGCTCAGCACGAGCTCTACTCAGGCTTCCAAGTATTATTGGGGCTAAAATTTCAGACACTACTTTAGTTAGACTGATTCAGGGTACACTGCCGAGAGACTTTTCAACTTCAATCAGAGTTGGAGAACTAAAATCTTTTTGCCATTCAGGTTGACTGGAGATCGTGAGTAACTGGAGTGTGGCTGAAGGCCATTTGAATTGATTCCTAAAATGCTCTGCACATCGATTGGATTTTCCTGATTGACTAAGTCGATTTGTAAATAAACTTTAACGCCTGACAGTCAGTTAAAATATGGAATTTGATACCAAACAAGTATTTATGCAGTCCTTTTATTGACTACAGATAAAGCCTCAAATCGGTCTGTGAATATCCTTGTATACTCTTTCTTGGTCGTCTTGAAATGAAAATGACAACCTCCTCGTTCTGCTCGAAAACGACACCTAACCCCAACGGAGATGGATCGGTAGTGAGAATAAATTTTTCGGTTGGTGAAAAGGGCCAGAGAAAGGCTTCATTATTTAAGTGATGCTTAATTTTTCTCCATGTATCCTCGTGTCGTTGCTTTCATACAAACTCTACTAGAAGACAAGTCAATGAGTTGAGATAATATTTATACTGAGTTAGAAATAAACTTGGAATAAAATTGAAGTTTATCAATCCGTGATCTGAGTCTTGAGGTACTCGTAGGTAATGGTGTTTGGACTGGTGTAACTAGGCGACTCATATCGGGTCTCGAACCTTTGGCATCGACAGTATAGCTTAGAGATTTGATAGAATGAATTGAAATATGACACTTTTATGGATTTACAGCCACATTCGCATCACGAGTGCATCTGAATATCTTTAGAAGTCGTTCTTTCGGCTATTCAACATTTTCGGTAAAAAATACATTGTCATCTTGAAACGACTCAACACCATCAAAACCGGTAATAATCTGATTTACAACCTTCTGGAATATCGCAGGCGAAACATTCAATCCGAATGGTAGGAATTTGTATCTGTGTAATTAGGATAGTTAGTACACTAGAGTCTTTATACACAGCCAAGTACTTAGTATTAGTAGGTATTCACCACGACTGCTAGGTGTTTTTCCATTTGCTTCTAGTAGTTTCACAACGGGCGTAGCCCAAATGTACGATTCGACCGTGATTATCATTCTTTTCACAACCAGTTCATCTAACTCATTTGTCACAGCTTCTTCAAAATTAAAAGAAATTGTAGTGGATCGAGTTGAGGTTGACTATTGAAACGCCTACAAACCAATTACATTGTAGTCCCATCGTGAACCAAAAACAGGGAAGAAGAGATAGTCCAGATGAAGGAGTAAATTTCCTGGCGATTTCGTGGTATCACAAGAATACTGAAATCGTTCCGGAGAATATGGGCGAAAATGTAGAGCAGCAAAAGCAACATGGCGCCTGCGCAACAGGAAAAGTGTTATACAAAATGTGTGAATAAAAAATCAGTTCAATAAAACAATCACTGATGCGATTGGTTATAATAATGAATCCTTCTGTCTAACCACTCGCCTTCTTTTCGTAAAAGTGGAGTCAATACAAAATTATTTCACGCTCTATGAAGATAGGCCTTCCTCTTTCGTCCAGGCGTACTTGTTGGATTTTCA